AAAAACATCCAGCATGGTACACACACATTTTACGGTGTTATCGTAGAAATTTGGGAGTTAGACTACAACCATTTTAGGGTTCCCATCTTTCGTTGTAAATGGGTAGATATGAATAGAGGGGTTAAGGTAGATGATTTGGGATACACTGTGGTTAATTTGAACAAATTAGGTTTTCAGAATGACCCATTTGTGTTGAGGAAACACGTCATGCAAGTATGTTACATTGATGATCCTCTTGAGAAACTATGGTCAGTTGTCCTAAGATTACCTGAGAAAAACTATATGGACATTGATGAAGATAGTGAGGGGTCTGTTAAATTAGAACTCGAGGAGGAGTTGGATGTGAGATTGTTACCATCCAACCACGCAATAAATGAAGATAAGAGTAATTACATGCGAGAAGAAGATGAATTGATTGTGTTGGCATAAGTTTTGTTAACCGTTAAGTGGGCCAATTTTTGTATTTTGCTCTGCCAGAGGGTGTATTTTAGGTGGATGTTGGGTGCAGTTTTTTGTCATGATCTGCACTTCATGTCTCTTGGAGAGTCCTAGCCCTCCTGTACCTGTATTTCGCTGGTACTATGTGTTATGTCACTCTGTATTGCGTTTTTCTTTCTGTGTGGAATCATACCGGCTGTTTTGGGATGGTAAAGGCCTTATGTTTCAAGCAATTGATTTATACTTCCAGGTAAATTAATTTTGTGTTTTCCTACATTTTGGGGTTTATGGCTGCCCTTTGGGTTTTATTCTTTGTTTTATTATATAAAATGTTGTACTATCAAGGTTTAGTTTGTTGGTTTTCATGATGTGCAGTTCATGTCGATATGCTAGCAGTGCTTGTACTCCTGTATATTGATGTTGCTGTGTCTTAAGTTGTGTCCTCCTGATGGATACGTTGGGCCATAGTTTTTTTGCTTTTTGGGTATAACAATAATGTTGTTCACTTGGTGGCTTTTCCCAAGGTTTGTACTGTCAAGTTTTGTTGGTGTCTTTTTCCATTTTGGTTTCTACTCTAAGGTGTGTATGATTACTTTTAGAATGGATGATTGAAGGATGAACCTGCTTCAAGGATATTAACGGAATGCTTGAAGGATGAAGCTTGAGGGATATCCATGTTGGTGAGTCATTTCCTAACTTCAAGGATATGTACTATTTCTTGGATACTTGTTGGTCATTGCCTTTATTTGCATTTACCACTATTAAAAAGAACCAACTTTTGGCCTATAACAGATCATGTTTTGGAGGCATCGNTACTTTTAGAATGGATGATTGAAGGATGAACCTGCTTCAAGGATATTAACGGAATGCTTGAAGGATGAAGCTTGAGGGATATCCATGTTGGTGAGTCATTTCCTAACTTCAAGGATATGTACTATTTCTTGGATACTTGTTGGTCATTGCCTTTATTTGCATTTACCACTATTAAAAAGAACCAACTTTTGGCCTATAACAGATCATGTTTTGGAGGCATCGTCATGAAAAATTGCAGCACCAAAGCAGTTTCTTGAGCAAAAAAGTTGTTCTCTGGTTGTCGCACTCCATTCCTCAGTAAACCTTGGGTCATACATTCTATTTGCATCTCGCCATCTTTTAATTGTTTTTTTGTTTTATGATGTGAGATTGATGGATTGTATGGGTTCCCAATTCCCTTTGTGTGTAGTGGGACAGTACTCAGCCTGTCCATGTACAAATTATTTCGTTTGAATGGAAGTGTTTATTTTTTCATGTCCATATAAATCTTTAAAACAACGGTTGTTTGATTGTTTGGGCAGTAGTTTTTGAGTGATTGAGTTGAACTCTTAGGGGGGGTTGAGTTGGTTTGGAGTGCTTGACTTGTTTTGGTTTGGGGTGGGTTTTGAGTGTGTGTTGGAATTGTTTGCTGTGATGCTTTGGAAAGCTATAGTCTGGACATGGGCATGAAGATAGGGGGACAAGACAGTTGCTGCAATTGGGACCAAAGAAACCAACCAACCTTCAGCTCCTAAAAAACAGCCCAGGCAGTGACCAAGACAGCTCCATTTTGTTTGTTGTCATGCTTTGATCCATTTTGTTTGTTGTGATGCTTTGGTTTCTACAATTGTTTGCCGTGATGCTTTGGAAAGCCATAGTCTGGACAGGGGCATGAAGATAGGGGGACAAGAGAGCTGCTGCAATTATAGATAACTGTGAAAAAAGTTCTCTTAAAAACAGTTTTCTTTACTTATTATAGATAACTGTGAAAAAAATAGTGTGACACACACTACTTGTAATACAATACTATTTCTTATAAGTTTAAAAACAGTTACACATTGGGAAACCAAACTTCTGTTAAGAAATACTCCGTAATAGTCTTAACTAATTATTGACAACTGTGGCAATAAAAACTGTATTTTTTTACGAAACTGACTACTAATAATAGATGACCGTTTCTCACAGCTTCAAAAACAGTTCTACCCATAATTTATAGACTATTGTTCTAAAAGAGTCTTCTATTCCTATTATAAACAACAGTGGCAAAAAACCCATATGAAACAAACAACAAACGTTAGATAACTGTTTCTAATAAATTTAAAAACAGTTCTAGAATAACAACCCAGACTATTGTTCTAAAAAGAGTATTCTTAACTTGTTATTGACAACTGTTGTAAGAAAAACTATATCTTGAACTGAGACAGACAACTAATGATACATTACCGTTTCTCAAAACTTGAAAAATAGTTTTAAAGCATCGCAGCTAGACTACTGTTCTGTTCTTAAGAAAAACTAACAGTAGTCTGTTTTTTTTCAACTACTGTGTTTGCATAAACAGTAGTGAATCAACAGTGGTGTGATGATGTTTTTGGCGTAGTGTTTGCATTTGAGTTAGGTTCAAACTCCATGAGCAAGGAGTTAGGTTCAAACTCTATGAGCAAGTCCGGCTCCTATATAATTACAAAGAAAAAAGTGTATGAGAATAACACATAACTACTTGGTGTGATATAGTTAATTAGACATGGAACATCATTATAAAGAAATAGAGAATACCTCCATATATGTCTCAACACATGCCTGAATAAACACAGCACTCTCAAAAAGCGTTTTCACTCCGGCAACAATACTAGATACTTGTTCACCATCTTTGATAGCATTTTTCAAGGATTGAGTTCAAAATCATTTTCTACCATGCTGGACAGGATGTCATGAAATCATGCTGCACAAAAACCCCAAACAACCTAAACAATCCAACCAAACCAACCAAATTAGATGATGTGTTTGTATTGCTAAGGCCTAAATGAAAAATTGAATATTACTATCAATAAATCATCAAATATGGATCTGTCTTCTAAATAGGATGAATCTGGAGTATTTGGGGAATGTGGGAGCATCTCTTCTTCATTATCAGCACCGAATGTCTTCTCCTCCATGTTGGCTTCTCTTATTCTCTAATGGTCGCCATTAACTCTTGGACATGATATAGATTAGCCTTCTATTTTAGTTTGACTTCTTTTTTCTTTTATAAATACTGCCTTTTGTAATTCAGCACAAATCATAATGATGAGAACATATTTTTCCAATTCTGTAACGTTTTTGTTATTTCCGTTTCTCGCTCCTTCACCTCCACAATCGTCTTCTTCATCAAGCTTCTTACTTCTTGAATTGATTCCAACTCAATTCAACATGGTATCAGAGCAGAATTCTTCAATCTAGGTACTCTTGTTCCTCCCGATCCTCCTTTGGGAATCAATTCAGCGTTCAATCAAGTGTTTCATCTATTTCGTCTCAACAATTCTAGACTCATTTTCCTTCGATCTTGTCTTAATTAACAATGGCATCAATGGAAACAACTCATCTTCAACGATTGACATGATGAGTCCCTTTTATCTCCACCCGTCTATGTCAAAGCGATTTGAGGGAGAGAACTTTGGCTCTTGGCAGGAGTCTATGTCGATTGCTTTATCAGCCACAAACTAGATTTTGCAAAAGGAAGAATTGCAAAACCTACTGATGATCCACAAAAGATGAATGCGTGGCAAAGATGCAATGATATGGTCACTTCCTGGCATCTGAATTCTCTAAGCAAGGACATAGCAGACAGTGTCTTGTATGCTGATATAGTCGCTGAAATCTGGACAGAACTGGATGAACGGTTTGGACAAACTGATGGTGTTAGATTGTATCAGTTACAGAAAGAGATTGGATCCATTGCTCAAGGAAAGTCTGACATTGCTTCATATTTCACTCGTCTCGAAAAAAGTTGGGATGAACTGAATATTGTTTCTAATCTTCTAAAATGTACCTGTGGAGCAGTTCAAGCCCTGGTCAAATATGAGCAAGATCAAAAGCATATTCAATTCTTAATGGGATTGAATTCAGAATATAATGTTGCTAGAGGTAACATTCTTTACATGTTGCTGGTCAAAATACCTTCAAGTCTGGACAATCTCAACAAGTTACAAAGGAAAGTTTGATAACAGAAACTGTGATTTATATTGCCCACAACCTGGTTTATCATGAACGCGCCAAACACATCAAACTTGATTGTCATTTTGTTCGTGATACGTTGCAAGATGGGCTTATCACACTTACTCACATCTCTACCAAACTTCAATTAGCATGTTCACCAAGAGTCTGCCTGGTCCAGTTCATCACAGATTGCTTTCTAAGTTGGGGGTCTCTCCACCCTCCAACATGAGAGGGGGGGACATAATATAGACTAGCCTTCTATTTTAGTTTGACTTCTTTTTTCTTCTATAAATACTGCCTTTTATAATTCAGCACAAATCATAATGATGAGAAGATATTTTTCCAATCCTGTTACGTTTTTGTTATTTCCGTTTCTTGCTCCTTTATCTCCATGATCGTCTTCTTCATCAAGCTTCTTGCTTCTTGAATTGATTCCAACTCAATTCAACAAACTCTACAGGAAAACCCATTCATTTAATATTCATATCATAAACAGAAAAACCAACAAAAAGTATAAGAAACGATAGAATTGAGTTCTGGCTAGGAAAAATAGATTTCGATTACTTGCATTTAGCAAAGAATAGTTTCCCATCTATGGCATAAAATGGTTTCTGATCTTATGGTTTCTGATACAGACTGATTTCATTGTCCCACACCGGTTATATGGGGAACTTGGTGATGGGTTTATATAGCCAAGGGTTCTCCCACCTTATCAGCTAGCTTTTAGGGTGTGGCTCTCCCTTGTGCTGTATCAGTTTCAGATCCGATGCAGGTAGTAATATAATTAACATCCAAGAAAATAAACATTGAATTACCTGACATCTTATTAGGACTTAGGATTGTGCGAAAGAATATGAAACTGTAGAGGAGGACCGATGGATGAGTGTATTGTTGTTCGAGTTTGAGCGACACAATATGGATTGGGGCGAAGCTAGAGGTGGCAATCGGATCAACTGGATCGGTTTCGGGTTGGATTTTTCGGTTCGGATATCTTTTGATTATATCTTATAATCGGTTCTATACATTTTTCGGTTCGGTTCGGTTTCGAGTCGGTTCAGATACGGTTCGGTTATAAATCTGTTCGGATAGATTTTGGTTCAGATACAATTTGAGTCGGATATATTTCGGTTTCAGGTCTAGTTCGGTTCGGGTATATTTTGGCTTCGGATCAAATATATTTTGGATATATATTATTTTCTAATTAAAATTTAACTATCCGTGTTTCTTTTTATGTTTTATCACATTTATCAATCTACCATCAATTCAATACCTCATATTATTTTATATTTTTTTCTAATTATATTATCTCTACCCTAAATAATCTTACCTTTTTGTCTTTTTAGTCATATTTTACAAATTTGGACTACAAATTATGAAAACATATATATTTAATTATGATATAATACCTATGTATATAAATGAAAGGATAAAAGATAAATTCAAATAGTCTTATGTTCCATTTGAATACAAATTGGTAAAAATTGAGTAAAATTGGGTGAAATTAAGTGAATTTTATTCAATTGAGTGCAAAATTTGTAAATTATTGAGTATATTTGGTTGAAAATAGAAAAAATTAAATTTAATAGAGTCAAATATAATTAATTTTACACCTAAATGTAATGGTGTAGATCAAATTTGAAAATGATAACAGTAAAGGCTGCCGCTAGAGAGTCTTTTCAAAATGCTAACACTAGCATCTAATTTTATTGACTAATATTGAGTGAATTGGTTTGAAACTAATCAAATTAACTCTCAAATCAATAAAATTTAGTTATTCCATACAATTCATCATATATTCCTTTCATCCCAAAAAGAATATCACACTTCACTATTTAAAAATTACAGAAATTTTATTTGTTTGTGCGTTATCATTTATATGTATAACTTATCTTTAATTTCTACATATAATAAATTTAAGACATAAAATTTTGTACTTTTTTTCAAGAAGATAATCCATTTTATGAGAGAATGAGCAAGTAATGTAATTAGTTCAAATGGTAAAATAAAAGTAAAAATTTAAAAATATACTGTAATATGCTTATTGAAAGGCAAACATAGTTCTGAACTTATCGATTTTAGTTCTAATCGGGTTCGGATATTATCGGTTTCGGATTTTATCGGTTCTAGGTATTATCAGGTTCGGATCTAATCGGTTTCGGGTTTAATCGGTTCGGATATTATCGATTTCGGATTTAATCGGTTTTGGATTTAAATCGGATATGAATTATTTAGTTCGGTTTCGGTTCGATTCGGATCATTTCGGGTTTTCGGTTATAGATCGGATCTTCATTTTTCAGGTCATTCCGGTTTCGGTTTCGGATATTTCGGTTCGGGTAATCGGTTCCGGTTCTGTTTTGCCAGGTCTAGGCGAAGCTGAGGAAGGAAGGGGCGAATCTGAATTGAAAAATGTAAAGTGACGAATTTATCTAAATATAGCATTAAAATATAATTAATTTCTCTAAATAGCATGTATTTTTTCCTAAATCTAGCACTTTTAGAGGGTATTTGAAAGTGATTAACTTATGGATAAAGTGATTTTCACAAAAGCTAAAAGCAAAAGCACCTCATACCTGCTTCTCCAAAACGTTGTTCTATGTACAAAATAGTGGTGGTGAAAAACAGAAGCTGACATGTCAAACAAAGTAAAATGACTTCTACTCAAAGCAGAAGCTTAATTATTAAAAGCAGCACACTACCAAACACCCTCTTAGTTATTATGCATTAGTCATTGTTCAAGTAAATATTGGCTATCACTAGACATTATTTCTTTTTCTGGGCATTATTGAGTGATATTTAGGAAATAAAACAATTTAAGTGCTATTTAAGAAAATGATTTAAGTTTTAGTGTTGTTTAGTGCAAATATTTCAAATGTAAATACATTGAAATTTAATTACAATATCACATTTTATAGTTTGCACTTATTAAACCTAAAAGAAAATAAATTCTTCGTAAAAAAATGAAAATTAAGATAAAATTTATGATTTTAGTTAAGAAAAAGAAAAGATATGATAAGTGATCTAGAAGTGAGGAAGCGGCGAGAAGTAACGGCGTGGAGGAGGGACGGTGGCTTGGAGGACGGCGGCAACGGTGGGAGGAAACTAGGAGTTTAGGACGATGAGAGGGACGAGGTGGTGGAGCACCTACAAGGAGACCCGTCGGCGATGGCGTGAGTCGGCGAGATGTGGAAAGAAGTAGTGGCGCGACGCCGGTGAGACAAGTCGACATAGGGGAGTGGGAGAGAGTTTTGACGAAAGTGTAAAGGATAAGGCATTGTATTGTTAGATTTAACACAATCTTTTGAATTGGTCATTAGCAATAACCAATTTAAAAGATAAACAGTTGGGGAAGCTTAATTGTCATTTGTATCATTTTTTAGGTAACCGATGCAAATGGGGCTTTTCATTTGCTCGTTCTGGTTGCAGTGTAGTGAATAACAGAATCTTAGCATTCTAGAAAGAGGTTGTATATAGTAAAACTTCTTGTAGGATAACTAAAGAGTTTTTGAATGTTTTTTTAGGCAAATCACATTGTCGTGCGAAAGACATCCTAGATGTTGTTGCAAAGGGGAAGTTAAAGTACTTCATCACAAATTGTGTTGCATATAGAGCTAAGTGGTGGGCATATAAAATTATTTATGGGTCAATGAAGGAACCCTATCAAAAATACCCTATTTATACGGCAACTATACATTTGTCTAGCCTTAAAACAAGAAGAAGATGGGAGTGGGAAGGGGAAGAAGAAGAAAATAGAAATGAGATCAAATGGAAAATTTTAAAATATCTAAAATTCTAATTTAGCCTAAATGACTGGAAGTTAACTTGGAAACAGGTAAGTGAACTTTAAGTGAAGAGGTTATGTAAGTTCAGGTATTTTTTTGAAAAAATTTAAAGTTCAAGTACTACTTCAAAATTCCAGTAAAAGTTCAGGTATCATTACTAAAATTTACCCCAACATTTTAGATAAAATTTTAATGGTGCAGATATTTTCGAAAATGTTAACGCTAAATATTACTCGTCAATAATCTTTTCAAAACACTAACACTAATTTATAACATTATTTTCAAACAAGCTCATGATCTGACTTGATTTGTTTTGAACATAGTTGTATTTAAAAGTGTTTCTGATATAAATTGATGTGAACTTATTCTAATAAGAAAAAAATAAAAAACAATAAAAATAAGCTGGAAAAAAAAACATGGCCTAAATCACTTAAGAATATCATCCAAGCATCATACAAATCTTAGCTACTACCATCACTAACTTCAATCTCATATTTGATATCACAGTTCAAATAAACAACGATAAATGCTTGGTCCACTAACATGTAACAAGCCATATACTGCATAAGTATTGTCTTTGAATCAATCAATAGCCAAACTCTACAATTCTCATTGTCAAGGACTCGTTCATCCATAAAACTCCTAACCTTGTTATCCGCTTTGGGATCACGCCAAGGAAATGAGGGCTGACCATCCGCTCAAACCAATACTATTCCTCTCAATCTGTACCCACAAATAAAAATGGAACCCAAAAACATTAAAACCAGCTTTGGGAAAAAAAATAAAGAGGAGCTGCATTTTTCCAAAGTAAGAATCAGTGAACTTGCGAAGGAAAACATGATAGGACATTTACATCATGAAGTGAAATGTCTTGCATACCTCTTCGCGTACATGATTGTAATCACGGTTAGGATCGTTTCGGTATCTGGTGGTCAATGCTTCTTTAAAACCCTAGAGATTTCATTGAAAATATGTTAATATATGTGGTAGTAATAAATATTAATCTGCCTGACAAAAGAATAAATCTTGATCTAGTCAATTCCAATAATGAGGTCATTTTTGGTTCAAGGAGATGAAAGGGAGGGGGTGAAGCAAGATATTTTGTCCCCCTCCGCCCCTCAAAACAAAAAAAATGCCCTAATTTTCTACAGTCAGAATGAACATTGTTAACTCACAGGAAAATATTAAGGCACTGAACCAGGACAAAAAAAAAAGATTCTACCTCAACGGTGAAAGAAACATCAATATTTGGAATATCATCATACACCATCTTGAGTGGGCGGGGTCCGCAATCAGGTTTGGGTATCTTCTTCAGTTCCCCAGTAATTGCTTCAGACACCTTACGGTGGTAATCCTCATTGCTCCAGTACCCGAACACAACTGTCACGACTCCTCTTTAGAAAAAAAGGATTAAAAAATCTAGTATTAACAAAGGAACTGAATGCTTCAATGCCAGTGAAACACAAAAAAAATTGCTCTATAATATGGAGTAAGAATTGAAGACACTTAATGTGATGTCCACTGCAAGGTCATAGTCACAAAAAGTAGATACTCTGTATATGATCTGAAATTATAATGTTCCATCATTCATCACAAGACAAAGAAAATTATTCAAATCTCAAATAAACATAATCGTCTAGATCAGAATAGCACATTAAAATAAAAACATTACTGCTTAATTGATACCCCAGTTTTGTGATAAGAGCTCTAAGGTCCAATCATTTTTAGAATAGACTCTGGGATATCTTAAAATATCTGAACACTTACTCTAGGGTGATACTCCGTTTATCTTCCGTCAAAACTGAATTTCTTCGTCATCTTCTTCAATCTTCTTTTTCTTCCCTACTTTCAATCTGACCCAGCCCCTTCTTCTACCCCTCTATTTTTCTTTCTTTTTATATTATTATTATAACCATTGTTATTAAATAATTATAATAATAATAATAATATAAAGAAGGAAAAAAAGAGGGTGTGGGAAGGGGGGGTCAGATCAAAAGAAGGGAAGAAGGACAAGAAAAAGATCAAAGAATTGAAGATGAATAAAGAGGAAAAAGATGAACTAGGAGGAAGAAGAAGATGACGCAAGATTTTGATTATGATGGAAGATGGACAAAATGTCACTCCGGAGTAAGTTTTCAAATATTTTAAGGTACGCCACAATATATTTTGGAAAACCACAGTATATTTTGGAAAAACGATGGGACTAGTGATTTCTTATTACACATTTGGAGATGCACAACAGCAATTTTTTTCATTAAACACACACACACACATATATATAGCATATCATAAGCATATAACCTAATAATGGCAGTGCTTTGTGTCTCTTGCAAAATGTTTTGGAAGAATGTGTCTCTTTTGAGAGCTTCCATTCGTTCTCTGCCTTCTGCAGTAAAGTTAGGTTCTAACTCGGCGAGCAATATCGGATCCTAAATAGTTACCAGAACAAAAAAAAAGTGTAAAATTAACACACGCATAACAACTTGATGTGATATAGTTAATCAGATATGAAACATCATGATAAAGAAATAGAGAATACCTCCATATATGTCTCAACACATGCATGAATAAACACAGCACTGTCAAAAAGCTTTTTCACTCCGGCAACAATACTTGGTACTTGATTACCATCTTCGATGGCATTCTTCAAGGATTGAAAAAGCTCGTGTGCTATCAGCTTGAGTTCAAAATCATTCTCTACCTTGCTAGACAGGATGCCAATGAAATCGTGCTGCATAAAAACCCTAAATTACCAAAACAATTCAACCAAATGATGTGTGTGTGTGTATTGATTTTGACTCCAAAGTCAAAATCAACTTGTGGAGTGCAATTGAAGGGGGTGGGGGGTGCGTTCGGGTCGGGGCGGGGTGGGGGGGTTTACCGGGGGGTTAGGGGGGTAGGAACCGTCAATTTTACGAACGGGGCACCGGAGCGCCCCCGAGTCATCCCATGACATTGGTTCCCGAACCAATGTCATGGGAACCAAGATGATTTTTTATTAATGGAAATGTCATTTCTTTACTTTTCATTTTTTATGCTTTTACCTTATCGTACTATGTATTGATAAAACAAAATGAGAAAAAATCACTCACCATATCAGTTTTTCAATAAGAATTCTCATATCTTACTTTATTTGAAATTTATTTTAGTGGTTCTTAAAGTTATGTTAACGTATTTCAATAATACTTTCCATTAATTAAATCGTTAAGATTAAAAATTTCATTATTTCAATCATTCGAGCGCAAAAAATTTTATTCTGGTGTAACTCACGTTATTTGCTAAGAACTCGCATGTTTCATACTATTAAATTTTACATTGATTAATCATTGTTTTATTAAATTTTAATAAATTCTTTCAATTTCTAAGTTAAATAATTATTATCTTAGTTGTTATAATAAAAATCAGTACCTTAATTTAAACTTTATATTTTAAAAACGTTAAGTATATATATCTTTAAAATTTTAAAACGTTTAATAAATTAATGTACTTATAAACTCTTAAATATCTGAAATTTGGATATATGCATTGTAAAATTATAAATCTAAATTAAAATTAATGTTGGGAAATCATGCGTCCCATATGGAATGGTTAAAACTATAGCTAGTTCCATGTTAAGAAAAGTGAAACACAAGCCCAACGTGAATTGTACGAATTATGACAGAACTATTTTTTAAGTTGTTTATTCAAATCAATAAATAAAGATCATAAAACAAAACTCATAAATATGACAAAAGTCAAAACCATTGAACTCAGATCAATCCTGTACAAAGTGTCAGAGTTAGCAGAAGACTTAAACAATGCAATATACAATAATATGGGTCAAGCCCAAAATGAAACAATGCATCAAACAACACTTGTGAAAATCATGCACGACAACCTGAAAAATAATCCTCATATATTAAAAATAATATCAAAAATTCTATTAAACAAGAGGTGACATGACTATGTTATTTTATCAATGAGTAATGAAAAGAGAAAAAAAATATAGGTTAACCATATGAATATTAAACAGACAACTTAAATTTGAAAGCTATAAAGATAGTCCATCTATTTGTTAGTCCACCAAAGAATATACTCCCTCCATCCCGTTTTAAATTGCATGTTTTGATTTTTGGACATATTTAAAGAAAATAAAAAATAGAGTTGATTTTTCGAAATTACCATTACTTTTTAGAAGGGATGACAATGAATTAGAAGATAAGGTGTTGAAAAGTGACTTATTTTAGGGATAGTTTAAGTATTTTACTCATACAAGTTTACGATAATAAGTAACATGCAACTTATTTTGGGACGAAGAAAAAGGCAAACATGCAATTTAAAATGAGACCGAGGGAGTATATTGTTTGTGAATGTGAAATGTGAAATAAGGAAAACTCCCATTTCACTAGATGTAAAATACTTGTTAGGCTCATTCTTGTTTTGTTAGAGATTTTGCATGAGTGGATATGAATAAGAGAAGTTTGGCATTTCTCATTTCCTCTGTAAATTTTCTGTTTTTTTTTGGGTAAAAAAAGTACTATGTAAGTGATAGCAATAAATGTATCTTTTGGCAAAATAAAATAAAAGAAAGATGCAATGAATGAACCAAGCAGAGATAAATGTACTCTGCACCTCTTTATTGGCACAATTTTTTTTTTCTACCATAAAAGGAGACTATATATATAATTCACGGGGTATAACATTTTGCCCCAATGGACATTGTTTGCACCTCTCTATTGGACATTGTTTTTCCTCTATATATACATATATACAAATATATATATATATATATATATACACACACACACACACATTGATTTATGAAATGAAAAAACATAAATTGATATTAATAATGATATTAATATTAATGCAAATATTACTATAATAGCAGCAGCAGCAGCATGGACAAGCATTTAGAGAAGCTCCCACTCAGAGTCAGGGAAGTCCCAACCTGAAGAAATCTGAGGTGTGGCATTTTTCCCCTCACAATCTTTACCCAACCCTTGCTCATATTGTTTTGCAAGCCTCTGATATTCTTTCTTTGTTGATCTCTTTTTTGAAGAAAATGCTTCGCGGATTTTCGTCTGAACGAAAAAAATGGTGCATTGTGAAGAAATGAATGGTTGTATCCGCCGCTAGGGAGCGGCGGATTGGGGCCTAGACTGTTATTATTGATGAGAGAGATATAGAGAGAGAGAGACCTTATATGATTTGTGTTTGGCAAGACCATGTGGAAGAAGAAGCCCATCCCCTTCAACCAAGACACATGTTTTCTCCACATCTTGATCAATTTCTTGCTCAAGCACATCATTTGCCTCATCTAATACCTTAAAATAATGATTCTCTGATATTCCTGCAGATCATATAAAAGGCAGAAACATGTCAAAATCTCTACTCCATTGTTGTGGTTGGCTTGGAACAAAAGTAAGATTATAGCACAAAAAAGTTGAAGAACCAATTTCAAAATATGGTAAATAATCAAAAACAAGAACCTGATATATGACCCTAAAAAAAAAACCAATTCCAACACAATCCCAAAGATAAACTCACCTGAATCACTTATTGTACTAAGCCAAATTGTAGAATTGGGCATATCTGCTTCTTGTGTACCTGATTCAATAGCACAGTTAACCAAAACACCCGTGGCGTAAATTTGCTAAAAAAAATATTTTGTGTTCTTAAAAAAACAAAAACAAAAAGGATCGAGTGGTATAGAACTATCTTATACCACTTGAAATTGATGATGAGCCATCAAAAGCAGAAGCGCATCCAAAATTTTCTTGCTTCTTCCGCCCAGCTGATCCAGCCAATAATGTCACCTCATATGCTACATTGCCTATATAGCTGCCGGTTGTTTGCATATTAGCATCCACTTTATGACCAAACATTTCCTTTTCTCCCATTTCACATTCTGGTGATTCAACCAATAATGCCACTTCAGATGCCACATTGTCTATAGAGCTGCCGGTTTTTTGCATATTATTATCCTCTTTATGATCAAAGATTTCATTTTCTTCCATTTCAAAGACTGGTGATCCAACCAATAATGTCACTTCAGATGCCACATTGTCTATAGAGCTGCCGGTTTTTTGCATATTGTTATCCTCTTTATGATCAAAGATTTCATTTTCTTCCATTTCACAGACTGGTGATCCAACCAATAACGCCACTTCAGACGCCACATTGTCTATAGAGCTGCCGGGTTTTTGAATATTATTCTCTTTATGATCAAGGATTTCTTTTTCTCCCATTTCACAGACTGGTAATCCAACCAATAATGCCACTTCAGATGCCACATTGTCTATAGAGCTTCCTGTTGTTTGCATTTTATCATCCTCTTTGGGTACAAAAAATTCCTCTAAGCTTTCTCCTTTTTCACAGACCGGTGATCCAACCAATAATGTCACTTCAGATGCCACATTGCCTATAGAGATGCCTGTTGTTTGCATATTGGAATCCTCTTCATGATCAAAGATTTCCTCTATCTTTTCTCCTATTTCAAAGACTGGGGGCTTCACATTATTACTCTCCCAAGGCTTAGAAGTCACTGGTAAGTCCACCTTATGATCACACGTTCCCTCTAACGTTTCTCCTATTTCACAGACTGGGGACTTCATCTTATTCCCCTCCCAAGACTTAGAGGTAACAGGGGAACCCACTTTAAGATCACAAATTTCCTCCGACGTTTCTCCTATTTCACAGACTGGGGATTTCATATCTTTTCTCTCCCAAGATTTGGAAGTCACGGGTAGAGATGCCATTAAAGGAAGATCATCATAGCCTTCAGTTCTCTTTATAGTCCCAACATTACGGCGTCTGTGTATCCCACCAAGTGTGCTTCTCCCTTAATACAATAACAAAAGACATATTATTATTATTTGCAATTTTAGTTCATTTGGAAATTATGGATAAGCCGTATATCCTTACCCTTGATGACTTGAGTATCGTCTGTGGATTTCACATGATGTTCTTTCATGTTTTCCTTTTTCTTCTTTTTCTCAATCTCGAGGTAAGCATATGGATTCACAGACATGTCAGCAAATACAACTCCAACAGGATCTAAAAGAGACGCAGGATGCAAATCTTGCACCATTTCTGAGCAAAACCTTTTTACACTCTCACCTACTGTTTGCACTTGATTTTCAACATAAGCTATACTGTCCTGAAAGGAATACAAATAATTCAATGAATCCCATGATTTGGCATCAAACCACCTTGGCCATGGGGTTATGAATCCCATGGCAACTTGGGCTTATATTGAAACTCATGGGACTGCTGTTAACCACATGTCATGTCTTTAGTTCAAACTGTGTACTTCTAAACCAACAAAACCATTTTCTATAGGAACACATGTTGTGGAGATCATAAAAGGTGGAAAATGTCATTTATAAACATATAAATGGATGTTTGCAAGTCACACTCCTATACGAAAGAGTTTTTCTGTCCTTTTTATGTATATGAATAAATTTTGTCAACATGAATGAGACGTTCATTTAAACGAGATCCTTTCCCTTTCATAAGCCTAGCTAGAAATGGAAACTAAATGAGCTCATGATGCTATGATATAAATAAGGAAGATGTTAGCCATTTTATATAGAATTCTACATTAATAAATACATACACGAATACAACTTTTTAGTGCACATGGGATGTATCCATTCCAATAAAGAATAGCCGACATCCGACAATATCTAAGAGTTAAATGCAAAAAAGGAAAATTTATGAAGAAGATCTTAGTTGCATGGCCCAAAAAAGGAAATTTGGATGATAATGAAGAAACAGAGAAATTATTTACCAATCTACCAAGGACAAGTTTATAGTTAACCATGATGCCGAAACTAAAAAAAGCAGTTCCAGAAAAGGCCAATTACTTATTAGTAGGATCAAAAACTTTTTGTAAATAATATGGGAAGAAGCTAAATCTAGGCAAGAAATAAAGAAACACAATCCCCAATGAGCACTACTCTAGGTTATCAGGATACCATAGATTCATATAGATTTTGTTTCTGTTTTCATTTATGGATTAAATAGATATAGAAATAAAAGAGAAAGTTAAGCATGAAAAGCAGTAAAGCTTATGAATAAAGTTGCATTCACCTTATACATAGCATCTTCAATCCCCAAACACATAGCTCCAAACTTCTGATACACATTTCCAACCCACATTGAAAAAGACATTGTTTTGAATGCACTTGAATCACTATATAAGGTGTTGCAGCTCAAGTATAGGATTCTATGGATATCAGGACATCATAGAGGTCCATGCCCAAAACCAACTGCAATTGTCACATTAAAAAAAGAATCACTAGCTAGCACATGCCACAATCAAAACAACAAAAAAGAAATCCTAAGAATGCCTGCCAGTCTGCCACTAAGCAAAAGTAAATATATATATAAGAGCATAGAATCACCAGATTTCTTAACATACCTCGGAGATCATTAATGACAACAGTTTTGGGCGAATGATTGAAGGAGAGAATACTACGATCAGTTTATGTAAATAATTTCTCTTCTAAATTTTAAAAAATATATATGAAAATGATTTCTAGATTCCAAAGCCATTTCAAATTGCAATCACATATTAAGGCAAAGAAGATTTGCAGAGCTTTCTTTTCTGCAGACGACACTCAAAAGCATGTTTTACACAAAAGCATTCCAAACCTACCAAGCAATTCATCAAAACATAAAAATTCAGAGAGAACTTCCACCCAAAACCCCACGCCTTATTACCAACAATCCAATAAATCCCACCCACAAATTTCCTCTACTTCCACACCACACGCAAAAAAGCAATTTTTTTTTCTTTTGAATCACTCTCTACATCTAAGCAAAATCAAGGGAAAAAATCGCTAGCTGAAGCCCAAGGAAACTCACTGCTGAGAGAAGAAAAAGAATGGAAGAAAGTCAATAAAAATCAGAACTTTGAAAAGGGGTTTCGCCTGTTGGCAAGAAAGAATTGCGAAAACGGGGAAAGGGTAGCTAAATGTGCTAGCTTTATGGGTACTGTATCTGTAATACTATACACAAGAAGACGGAGAAGACGGTATATATATATATATATATATATATATATATATATATATATATATATATATATATATAGACACACACACACACAGAGCGAGAGAGAGAGAGAGAGAGAGGGGGATGGAGACGTGAGAAGGGGGATTACGGGGATGAGAACCTGGGCAGTTGAGTTGACACGTCGAAGTATAAGGGAAGGAGGTGCTTCCATTTGTACTCTTTGCCGATGAAGCTCGATCCTTCTTCGGCGTTCGGTGACGCCCAATTTAACACTTTTCGTTTACATACAGATTTATCACGTCACTCTTCTTCTTTAACATACTCCCGTTTAATCCCCTTTTCGGTTCCTGAATACTATCATTATCATCATACTCCCCCTCCCACATGGGCCCGGGCCTTAAACCTCGTGTGTGCAAAAAGTAGACTTGGACTTGAATGTTTGTTGAATCAGCTTCAGGGTCCGAAAATTTGGGTTTTACACTCATGTCCATAGCCTGCCACAACTTGTTCCTTTGATACGGGCCTACGGTTAGACTATGATGTCACTGTTCCCTAACATGTTTGGGAGGGGTAAATGAAGAGGTAAGATACTATAATTGTCATATTTGTTTTTTCTTCACCTAAATCAAACCTCTAATGGAGAAGGTAAATCAAAAGGTAATTTACCTTCTTCTATTTTGGAGAGGTATCTTTACCTCCTCAAATACAAGAGGTAAAATGTTTGATGCCAAAGCCAAGTAATCTCCAGTGCATCGTCGATCTTCTATTTTCAAAATTAGACGGAATTGTGAGATATGAAATTAAGAAACAAATGGAGTGAAAGAGGAGTGAAGATAGAGTTTTGTATTTGGGGATGAGGGAGACAGAAAAGCAACCATACAGAATGGCACTCGGGACTCGTCTCTTCCCCTTGTGCGGCTACTATGATTGCCTCAAATTAATCTCCCGAGTCATTAATCTAAAATTTGTAGAAAAGGAACATTTGACAAGAAATTAAAAAAAAAATTGAAATTAACCCTAAAATGTCTTTAAATTTGGGAAAAGTATGTTTACCTTTTCTAATACCATCTATCCATTGGAATCAAATAATTTTTTAGAAGGTATAATCACCTTTTTGAGAAGGTAAAAGAGTAGAATACCTTCTTCTTTTGCCTTCTTCCTTTGAAGTTGCTCTTATTGTGTTTCGTTCGTAACATGATGATTTCTATCCCTCCTAAATCTCTCACCCCGGTCCCCATGCCACTCCTTTCATCATGGATGGGCTACAGTTTTCTTGTAGCTAATCGGTGAAGAAGGAAGCGTGACGCGCTAGAGTGGGATTAGAAGGTTAGAAATATTAACTTTGTGAATACAGTACCGTAGATGCTCTAATTAGAACTAGTGTCATTCGTTGACTCATCTCGAAAATATGCTTATATTTGACTCATCTAGTTCTCTTTTCACAACCGAAAATTCATAGAGATTTCACTATATCGATAAGAAATATGGAAGTAGAAATCAATCTAAATCAATAAAAGAGACTTGTCAAGTATATGAAATTCCATGTAAACCAATAAAAAAATCAGCCCAACTCTCTATGACGCTTATATAATTTTTAAATCCACTTACATTTTAAAGTCCAAAAAAAGCTAATATACTCTCAATTGAATACATTTTGTTGATAATCAAAATTTGTCAAATTTGATTAAAAAAGTCAACCTTTACGAATACTTTACACATCTTTTTTACTGTAAATTAAATACGTGTTCATATCTATAAGTTATTGATCATATCACACATTTATTTCTTTATACACATTTAGAACCTGTCCATTACAAAATTGATATATACACATGTAAAATTTTAAAAGATGCATTTGTTACTAAAATAATTTTCAAGGGGTTCAGGGGCAGCGTCTTTGGACAGGGTTCAAGGGGCGGCAGCCCTTGCAAGGTCCAAGGGGCAGAGCCCCTGGCTGGGATCGAGACTTTATTTTGGACAAAGTGCTATGTTAAAAAAATTTCTTGAATTTTTAATTTTCTGAATTTGGGTATAAGAATTTCAGTAAACCGATGTCTCCTAAATCTCATGCGACTAGACACGAATCTTAGGAAAGAGATGCGACTGCATCATTTCCATCCTACCGCAGCTATAAGAATCCGGTAAAGTTTGGTCGATACACCGAGAGTTCATAAGTTCATCTCAATTTCATACTTGTGAGTCAACAAATTGAGTTTTATCTGATTGATTTTTAGATTGAACATCTAAAATAATCAATCTGAAAGTACTATCACGACTCTCAGATTAATAGGTGTTATCTTCTATTTCCCCAACATACATAGGTGTATGTACAATATTTTTGTTAAGCTTTTTAGGCGGATGTTCTTTAGCAACATATGAAACTTTTGCTTAAAACATCGAATTGATTGGAGTTAGCCCAGTTCCTTGAGAAATTTAAACTTTTGTTTATTGCAATGTACTTCACAATTCACATGATTGTGTAAAGTTTAGCATCATATAGTCCTGGTCTCTGATGTGCCAAAATATTTTGCACTTTAGGTGTTTTTTAATCGTAAGTAGCTATTATAGTATTATACTTCTATTTTAGTTTTAAAAGTTTTTATATCACACTGGGCCTGTTTAGGAATAGCTTTAGAGATTAGCGTTAGCGTTTTGAAAAGGCTATCTACGGCCAGCGTTTAGCGTTAGCATTTTCAAAGTAATCTGCACCGTTAAAATCTTATCCAAAAAGCTAACGCTAATCTCTAACGTTATTCCCAAACAGGCCTACTGTCAATTATCTAATATCACACTTTCATTCATTATACTCCTATTTTAGTTTTAAAAGATTTAAGAATCTTATTTTGGTATTTTATAGTTTTTCAATATTTATAAATTTTGACACCAAATTTTCTAAAAATTCTTGATTCGTGACATAAATTGAATGTCAATAGTTTTTTTTAAATATATATATATATATATATATATATATATATATATATGCACTTTAATATATACTGGGTAACATTTTTATATACAATATATTAATGATCAAAAAATATCTACATTGCACATTGTGAAGTGATACAGGACCTTAATTATCAGCAATTTACCCTCATTGTCAACATGAAAGGCGTGTGTTACCAACCTCATTAGAGAATGAATGATCAATTAATCTCCCAATTTAAAAATGAAAAGAATCATTTTTTCATTCATTTAAAGAGCGGTTAACATCTTTTCGTTAACACAAGATTAAAAGCAGAGCAAAGATTTGGGTTTCCAAATGTATAATTCAAAGCAGATAATCATCATCATCATCATCTTCTTCTTCTTCTTACTCCTTTCTGTTACAGATCAGAGTGAAGTGCAGGGGACACCGCCGCAGGTGACGATGGACAAGAAGAAGGAAGTGGGCCCTGCGGAAAGCGCCAACGGCTGTGATCTCTTCCAAGGAAATTGGGTTTTCGACGAGTCTTACGTTAATCCCTACAATTCATCGCAGTGCTCCTTCATAGAGAAGCAGTTTGATTGTGAGAAGAATGGAAGGGTTGATAGTGACTATCTCAAATACAGATGGCAGCCCAACAACTGCTCTCTTCCCAGGTTTAATGTATTCTCAAATATTGTTATAGTAAAAAAATTACTGGGTACATAGTATAATACGAGTATTTGTTTATATTTTTTTTTGTTAATTTATTTGAATCGGCCCAAACATATTAATAATATTTGACACCCAACCGATCAGCTCATTTACTCAAACCCAACCTTTATTCCTAACCTAATTAAGCTTACCTTAATTAGCTCCTAAATCTCTACTATAAATTGAGGCTTCCCCTTTGTGTTTCTTAACCATGAAAAACACCATCCCTTCTCTTTGTGAGTTCTTTGTGTGATATTTCTCTTCCTCTGTGAGTTCATCTCAGTTCTTCTCCGTTTCTTTGTGAGTGGAGTGTGGCGAGGTTGGGTTGGGGTGTTGCTCCTTTTGGTACCTTTGTAGTGCACAACTACGGACTGATTTTTACGGGTGACCTGAGCCTAATCGGAATAAATGAATACACATAATACTGGTATCAAAGCAATTCCACTATAGTTTGTGCTCGTGTGAAAGAACAACGGGATTGAGTAAGCAATTTTTGCTAACATAATAATCTTGGGTTGTTCGTGCGATTGTTTCACACACGTGAGCCAAATTTGAAAAATTTAGGCCAAATTCTACGTGCCTCTGTGTTGCTGATTTTTTCAGTTTTTTATTCTCTTTTGTGGGTTTTTTTTCTCCTTTGTGGTGATTTTTTTGTTATTTTTCGCCTGTGTGGATATGTCTATTATGAATCAGTATGCTTTGACTCCTTTTAATGGAAAAAACTGATTTTAGTATTTCGAAACAAAAATTGAATTGTGTTCTTGTTCATCAAAAAGTTTATAGGGTTGTTAGTGATTCATATCTAGAAACAGACGCTAAAGAGAAAAGGAGTTGAAATGAATGAAATTGCTTGTTCCATAATTTACTTAAACTTAACTTACTGTGTGATCAGAAAAGTTGGTATTTTGGAATGTGCTAAAGATCTTTGGAATAAACTTGATGAACTTTATACTGAAACTTCTTTGCCAAATAAGATTTTCTTGCTCGAAAAATTTTTCAAGTTTAGATTGGATATGTCTAAAGACATAGAAGAAAATCTAGATGTTTTCACCAAACTGATTTCTGATATTAAATTAACCAGTGATAAACATATTGACGACTACATCCTTATTGCTCTTTTGAATGCTATTCCCGATTCCTACAGTGACGTTAAATCTGTAGATAAATATGGTAGGGATAACAATTCTCTTGATGTTGTTTTGAATGGTATCAAGAGTAAGGAATTAGAGTTGAAAAATTCTAAGAGTGATAAAAATTCTGGGGAGGTTATGTATGTGATGGGTAGAACTTTGAATAAGTTTCAAAACCATAAACATGCTAACAATGATAACTCAAATGTGAAAAGATTCAACCAGAGAAGGGGTAAGTCTAGATCCAAGTCTAAAACAAGAAAATGCTACAATTGCAATGAATATGGTCACCTCAGTAATAGTTGTTCTAAGCCTAAGAAAATCCAGCAAAAAGATCATGCTAATATGGCTAGTGAATCACACAACTTTGGTGATGTGTTAATGATCAAAGATTATGCTTATTTGAACTCTTTGCTATCGGATTATCTGTGTGAATCTGATTGGCTAGTTGATTCTGGTTGCACCTTTCATATGTCACCATTTAAAAACCTTTTTTTCAAACTATTAAGAGATTGATAATGTTATTGTGTCCATGGCTAATGAAAAGAAATGCAAAGTTTTTGGAATTGGAGATATGTGTCTTAAATTTGACTCTAGATCTATTGTGAACTTAAAGAATGTTAGACATGTTCCTGGTTTGTCATATAATTTGCTTTCTTGTGCATCTCTTGAAAATGAGGGTTTTGAGGGAAAATGGGGAAAAGGTGTTATGAAAATCATGAAGGGTTCAATTCTTGTTTTCAAAGCTGAAAAGAAAAATAATTTGTATGTGTGCAAAGCTGAACCTGTTTGTGAGCATGTTAATTCTGTGGTTGATAATTCTGTTCTATGGCATAAACAGTTAGGTCACATGAGTAATAAAGGACTTGAAATATTGCATAAAAATGGACACTTGGGTAGTGATCAGCTTATGCATGTTCCTTTCTGTGAATCTTGTGTGCTTGGAAAACAAACTTGCGTTAGTTTTTATAACCCGAATCCTGTTACTTGAACTAGGTGTTCTGATGTGCTTGAATATTTGCATGCCGATGTGTGGGGTCCCGCAAGTGTTTCCACGCACGGAGGGAACCAATACGTTCTTTCCATAATTGATGATTATTCTAGGAAAGTTTGAATCTTACTTTTGAAACAAAAATCTGAAGTTTTTGATAAATTTAAAAACTGGAAAGTTTTGATTGAGAACCAAACTGGAAAGAAAATAAAAATACTTAGGACAGATAATGGCCTTGAATTTTGCAACAAACAACTTGATAATTTGTGTGTTACTTGGGGTATTAAAAGACACAAAACTGTTCCTTACACGCCTCAACAAAATGGGGTAGCTGAGAGGATGAACAGAACTATTTTAGAGAGGGTGAGGGCCATGTTAGCTACTTCTGGACTTTCTAAAAAAATTTGGGGTGAAGCTGTTTGCACTGCTGCTTATTTGATCAATAGGTCTCCATTTATACCTTTAGGAGGGAATTGCCCAGAAGTTGCTTTCTCGAGTAAACCCTTAGATTTATCAAACCTGCATGTGTTTGGTTGTGCTGGTTATGTGCATCAAATGAATGATAAACTCGAACCAAGATCTAAACTATGTGTTTTCTTGGGATATCCTGACAGAGTAAAGGGTTATAGGTTGTGGGTAAAAGGTGAACCAGGTTTCAAAATTGTGATAAGTAGAAATGTTGTTTTCAATGAAAATAATTTTCTTTGTTTGTCCTTGCCTATTCCCAATGTTGAAAATGTGGCTCCAAATGAGGTGGAGCAATTGCCTGTTATCATTCCTACTGATGTGCATGTAGAAACTAATGAACATGTTGATATGAATCATGATTCACACACTAATGAAGATGAGACTACTTCTAATGAGGTGGAGCATTATAGTGTAGAATCACATGTTGAAAATGATTTGCATGACTATCAACTTGCTAGGGATAGAAATAGAAGAACCATTAGCAAACCTACAAGATATGTTGATGACTGTAATATGTCTGAGTTTGCTTTTCATGTGTTTGAATCCCTTGAGTGTGATGAACCTAAGACTTATTGTGAAGCATTAGAATCTAAATGTTCTGAGAAATGGGTTAGTGTTATGAAATGTAAGATGGAATCCCTTCGTGTTAACCAAACGTGGAAACTTGTGCCAAAACCTGAAAATTGTTCTCTCTTGGACTGTAAGTGGTTGTTTAAAGTTAAGCAAGAACCTGAAAATGTTAGGTTTAAGGCTAGACTTGTGGCTAAGGGATTTACTCAAAAGAACGGAATAGATTATGTAGAAATTTTTTCTCCTGTTGTCAAGTTCACCACAATTAGAATCATGTTGTCTTTAGTTGCTCAGTATAATTGGGAATTAAAACAAGTGGATGTTACTACTACTTTCTTACATGGTGATCTTGATAAAAATATTTATATGCACCAACCTGAAGGATTTGTTGATCCTAAGTTGCCTAATCATGTGTGCCTGTTAAAAAAGGCTTTGTATGGTTTAAAACAATCACATAGGCAATGGAACATTAAATTTGATAATTGCATGAAAAACTTTGGTTTTAAGAGAAGTAATGCTGATCATTGTTTGTACTTCAATAACACTTTCTCTGTTCTTATTTTTCTTCTCCTTTATGTGGATGATATGCTAATCATTAGTCCTAGCTTAAAGTCTATTGAGCATGTTCAAAATTATTTTTGCAAAAATTTTGACATGAAAGATTTAGGAGATGCTAGAAAAATACTTGGCATGAATATTGTTAGGGATAGAAAGAAATCTACTCTTATTTTAAATCAAAATTCCTACATTGATAAGATTTTGAGTAAATTTGCTATGTCTGATGCAAAACCTGTGGATGTTCCTTTAGCTGCTCACTTTGTGTTGAGTAAGGATATGTGCCCTAAAACTAAAGCTAAAATTAATGAAATGAAAAGTGTGCCTTATTCGAATGCTATTGGCTCTGTGATGTATCTTATGATTAGCACTAGGCCTGATATTGTACATGTTGTTAGTTGTTTGAGTAGATGCATGTCTAATCCTGGTATGACTCATTGGAATGCTCTAAAATGGCTTTTGAGATACTTGAAATCTACTAGGAATTTTGGTTTAACTTTTTTCAAGAAGTGTTAAAAGTGTTAAATTGATTGGCTATGTGGATTCTAACTATGCAAACGATAGGGATAATAGATAATCCACTACTTCCTACGTGTTCACTTTGTGTGGTTCTTGCATTAGTTGGAAGTCTCAACTTCATCACATTGTTGTTTTATCTACTACTGAGGCTGAGTATGTTTCAGCCACAGATGCTTTTAAAGAAGCCATTTGGCTTAAAGGTCTTTTATCTGAAATATGCTTGCTTGATAAGAATGTGGTTGTTTTTTCTGATAGTCAATCTGCCATTCAACTATGCAAAAAACATGTTTTTCATGATAGAACAAAACATATTGATGTTAGATTTTATTTTATTAGAGACATAGGTGAAAAGGACATTGTCATGCTTGATAAAATTCCTACGGAGTCTAATCCAGCTGACATGGGTACTACGTGTTTACCTGTTGAAAAATTTACCTGATGTCAAAAGATTTTAAACCTATCTCTGTGATTGTGTAGTGACCTTTTGTTTCTTTTTTGTCATTGTGACTTTTGTTTTTGCTGTTTTTTGTTTTTTGAACTCGATGACCCAATGGTAGAGTTCGACTCTTCGTGGGTTATTTTTGGCATGCTTTGTGATGTTGCCTAGTCTTCGTGACTTGAGAGTAGTTAGTGAACTCTCCACCACTACGTGTGTTCTAATTTGTTGATTACACATTTAGTGGTTATTGGGCTATGATGAGTCCCGCGGTTCCTTGTCAACTATGTGCAC